GGGGGGAGCACTTTCCCAAAAAAGTTTATTTTCTTTATGTGGATTATTTTGCAACTTGCAAATTGCTCAAAATATCATTTTGTTTGATATTTTATTGCTTTTGCAAAGCACGTGTTAATACATTAGAGAGACAAAAAAAAACATGATTAAGATTGCTTATCAAGTACTTTTAAGGAGGTCTTTGTAATATTATTAAAGTACGAGGGGTCCCTATGTAATTAAACATAATCTCAACGGAGGAAAATGTAATTTACTCACTATGTCGTCTAGGGTAAAAATAGTTATTCAAAAAAGTTAACGGTTAAATGAGTCCATCCCTTAAACTATGTATTGTCTTACGCGTCCATCCGATCCGTACAGTGTCAAAGTTACCACAGGAGGAGGAGTTTTTGGTAAGAAAATACATAGTTGAAGGGGTAGTTGTAATTACCCAAACATGAGGGTTTTTTTTCTCGTAATTTGACCTTACCACATGGAGTTGACCGTAATTTGCCCAAAAGAATAAGACGATTATGATATAATATAGAAAGTTGATTTTTTTTTTCTTTTATCATCAAAAGTTATCTTTATAATATAAAAAATATCATGTATTTTTATGATTTTTCACTACAATTAAAAAAACTTATGATTCTTTGTTGGAATATTGGAATTAAAAAAAAAAAGATTTCACAATTAAAAAAATTCAAAAATATTATTCTCTGATGCAATTTATCCGAATTCCACACAAAGTCTACAGCCCAGTCCACTCAGTGTTTCACTATCCATTACAGCCCAGTCAATTGCACCCATTTATGTAGAGAGCCCATATGGTTCATTAAATTTCAACAATTCAAAAAAAATAAAATATTTGGATTAATTATATTCATTGATAAACTATATATTATTACATGGAACAACATAAGATATTAATTGTTTCCAAAATAATTTTTGAAATTTTATACGAGTGTGAAACGTAGCTGTTGAAATTGAACCAATTGGGCCGGATCGGAATTAATTTTTGAACGATTTCAAAATTTTCAGACGTAGAAGCTAATTTCAATTTTATTCCGAAACAAATGAAAAAAAATATATTGAAAAACAGAATTTTGGAAATTGGATTCAAAAGATTTGCTCCAAAATTGAAATTTTTCGGATCGGCGCAAATAAATTTATATATATATATATATATATATATATATATATATATATATATATATATATATATATATATATATATATATATATATATATATATATATACATAC